TCAAATAAACAACCAGAAGTAAAGCTATCCAGAAGCTAGACCAACCAGAGGGGCTCTAGCTTACAAGACTAAGTCTAAGTCTTAAAGACTTATCTTTAAAGTCTATATAAGTTTATTACAAGACTTGTACTCTTGAAATTACTCTGAAGTAAAACTCTTCAGACTTCAGATCTTCGTATAGGCAAGTCAGAAGCTCTGCATGCACTATGTAGAGGCTCTGCATGGTGCTCCTTCTAGAAAAGAAGACTACAAAGTTCGGGTGAACTAACTCTGAGGAATGACTCTTCAGACTTGTACTCTGGAAATAACTCTGAAATAGAACTTTGATTAGTGACTCTTCAGACTTGTACTCTTGAAATAACTCTGAAGTATAAAATCAATCTCATTAAATCAAAGTTCAAACTTCTAAGTCTGAAAAAAAAAAGATTTCAGAGTTCAGACTTTAGAGTTTGGTAAGCTAACTCCGAAAAATGGTTATTCAGACTTATACTCTTCTGAATTATAGAAGACTTCTACATCTGAAAAAGAAGACTTTAGACTTTTTTTTTTAAGTCTAGAAAAAGACTTCAGAGTTTAGACTTATAAGTCTGAAAAAGAAGACTTCAGAGTTCAGACTCTAGAGTTCGGGTGAGCTATGTCTAAAAAAGCAAACTTCAGAGTTCGGGTAAACTAACTCTAAAGAATGACTTTAGACTTGTTTTCTTTAAATAATTTTGAAGTAAAACTTTTCAGTAAATTGAATTTAGAATAAAATGAAGTTAACCCTATAATAAAATTGAATTTAGAAATGAAGCTATCTCATAAAATTGAATTTAAATTTAGAAGTAAACACCTTTTTTTTCGAGAATCAGTTACCACACGAATTAATTAACCCAAGAATAAAATCAATTGCATCCTAAATTAATGGGATTGATTGAATAAGAGGACACATGTCAATCAAATGAGTATAATTGAACCATTAATGTAAATTGTGTCTAGATACATTCAAATGAGTCTAACTGAACCACTAATGTAAATTGTGTCTAGATACGTGTTTATGCAGGAAAAAAAATAAGAAAACCGACTCTTCAAAAAATGACACGTGTCACCCAAGTTACTTATTTATTATAAGTATAGATTAATAAAATATAAGTGTACTGCTTCACCATGGAACATGTTTCTTGACTTTCTTCCACTCTGAACCACATAAAAGTCCTACCAAACATAGAACAAAGGTTCTTACTTTATTCTATCATGTCATGTTCAATATATCAAATGCGTCCTAACTGATTTTAAAAAAAATGGTAAAATCAAAAAGGGAAAAAAAACATTGCATGTTTGATTGGAATATGCAACATCCAACTAGAAAAGAGATGGACGTCGCAACAACCTTCAAGTTTAGACGTTTTACCTACAAACAAATCGATATTTCTAAAAGCTTCTAGAAGTTCAAAGGTAGGTTATATTATATACCCTCCACAAATATTCTTTGGTATCTTAAACTACAAGGCGGTTTTCTTTCATTAATTCATTGATTCGTGTTTATGGAATATTTGATTTAACAAATAAGATGACTTAAGTTTTTGGCTTTTGCTTTTACGTAACAAAACTATGGGTGTTCAAAAAAATCGTTGGACCGTTCAAACCGGACCATTTTTGGTGGTTTGAGCATTCTGACGGTTTGGTTTGATTTGGAAAATAGTAAAACCGGGCGGCTCGGTCCGGTCTACGGTTTGGAATCTTTTTTGGGCGGTTTGGACCAAACCGACCACCAAATATATATTATATATATATATATATATGTATATTACTTAATTATTTATTTTAATATTAGCAAGTCCAACTTTTTTAACTTATAGACTATGGTTAAAATATATCCCTAAGTCCAACATAAATCAAAATGGATATTTAATCTAAAATTATAAATTATATATGTTTTTTTAAGTTTTAACATTTAAAGCCTATTAAAGGCCCAAACCGTTTAAACCGGTCAGACCAGACCGCCTTTTCGTGGTCTGGTTTGACCGGCCTGAACACTTGATGTTCGGTTTGAAAATTTTATAAACCGCCATTACAGTTTGGTTTGTGGTCTAAGAGATTAAACCGCCTAAACCGGACCGCGAACACCCCTAAAAAAACCACCTATGGAGTTATCGTATTTGAACCTCTGTGACCACAAGGGGATTTTTAATCCTCTTTGAGTTCGAACTTGAGATCTCCAGACACTTTTAACCTTTGGAGTTCAAACTCAAACCACTCGGATACCACCCTTATGGTTAAAAATACTCGTATTGTTTCATTTTCGGTAATTACAAATGGGTTAATTATATAGAAATGTAACGTATTTTTAAGTTATTTTTAAACTTAATATCAAAAACTATATTTTGAGAAACATTTCTTTTTTATTTTTAATACAATTAACGGGAACATATTATAACTTTAAGGATAAAAAATAAAATATTTTATAACGAAATAACTTTTGAAAAAATTTATTGAACTTTCTTTGTTTTCGACGTCTTGTCATAGAATAAAATTTTCAAACTATGTTCTAGAAAAAAGCAACCAGAGTCTCGTTTGGGTACAGTTTTGGTCTTAATAATAGAAAGTCTTTTGATTACTTAAAAAGTTAACAACGAATTTTAGCTCCAAAAGAATCATAAAAGTTCAAAGAGACCATCAACGCCTAATTTTGACCGTTCAAGTATAACAAAACCGTGTCCTTAAAACCTAACATCGATGCTCTATGTTGGTTTGGCGGAACCAGCAATGATTCCCACAACTTGTAACGTAACCAAACATGGTAACAAGATACGATTATTTTGGACTAAAAACCCGTTGTGATTATTTTGAATTTCATTAATTAGATATGATTATTGAAAATAGGAGAAGGGATTGTTTTATATGTTATATCTGACATGCACTCAGGGACGAACCCAAGAATTTTTGGATAAGGTGACACTTTATAAAACGGTTGCACCTTCTAGAATAAAACGGTTGCACCTTTCACGAACCTAAGTTTTTTACCTTACCACGGAGGAACAATACGGTGGCCTGTGCCACCTAACCACCCCTCTAAGTCCGTCGCTATTATTAAAAATTGTCATCGAAATATTTGAAAGCACGAGTATAGACTATTCCACCAAAATAGCATATACTAGTCTTAGAAACATAAAACATTCCAAATTCTTTGTTATTTTATTTTAGAATGAATATATTTATACTACATTAATAAGCATTTAGACCAAAAGTCTCAATTACAAGTCTTACAACATAAAGTGCTATCAATTTATGTAAGAGAATCAAAAATCTCTTAAGTACAAACTATTATGCATAATATACAAATGCTTAAAACATACCATTTGTTTGGTCAAAGTTTCATATTTAAGTAAACATATTTACATGAAAAAGACATGTTTGGTCTTCCCAAAGTTGTTTGACACTTTGTTTGTTTCCTATTTTGAACCCAAACTCAAATTCAAAGTTCTTTTTTCTCTTGAAGTAAACTCTCTCTCTCTCTCTCTCTATATATATATATATAAAGAGAGAGAGAGAGTTTGTTTCAAATACAACTTGTTGCATTTGTACAACCAATGCAACCCGTTTAGTTGAGATATTTATGCAAATGATGAGAGTTCATTTATTATGATTTGAATATTTATGAAAGATGAATATGGTTCATTAATTATGATCAATACTTTATATTATGAAATAATCAAAACTTCTATGAAATTACATATTAATCAAATGAAATGGACGGTTGAGATTGAGTTGTATTGGTTGCATAAATGTCGTGGGTTGTATAATAACCAACCTCTCTCTCTCTCTCTCTCTCTATATATATATATATATGTGTATATATATATAGGGAAAATTGCACCAAAATGGAACTAACTTTCACCTAATTCCTATTTTGGGGAACCAACTTTCAAAATCGTCATTTTGGGGAACCAACTT